TTCCAAGATAAAAGTTACACAAAAATATGTGGCTGATGAAGATTGATTTAAACCAATCATATTTGAGAAAAAGGGGGTCTAGGATAAAGGCCTACACCTGGGATACAGGTTAAGGAACCCCAAATATTAATTGCTGATCTACACGTGATAGGTAGAAAATTCATATAATCACCGCGGGGCTATAATTTATAATTAAAAACAAGCTTATTCTAAATCTCACGTTTCCTAACTAATTGTAATTTTAAAAATGTCAAAAGGCCACTATACTCCCAGAAAGCTTGTTGCCATAGGCATTCTTATTTTAGAACTTCATTATGGTTTTTTTTTGCGAGATTGGTGGTATTTTTCTGACTCTAAATCTGAAAATTCTAGCATATATCCTATTCCGTTAAGACTTGGTTTTCAAGTTGCTTTAAAACTCAATCAAAAATATTTTACTGTTAAAATAATTCGTAATTTACAAAACCCAAATATAACAAGATTTATTTGTGAAGGAGAGGAAGTTAATAGTGGAGTTTTATCTAGTTCTTCTAATGCTATAAACACTGCTTATAAAAAGCATTTGGTCAAAATAAAACAAAATACCCAGGAGCAATATTATTGGGTTTCATGATTCTTATATAATTCAACAAATACTTGATGGTGTGGGGTTTCGTCCTTTTATAATTTGTTTATGTAATATTAAGATTTTTGTAGCGTCTATTTCATATAAAAATAATGGTGAAGGGTTTACATCTTCTTTTATATATAAATATCAACAAAAACAAAGTGTAATTTGGCAAAAGATTGTAAAGGGATTATTTTCAATTAGTATTTTTCAAGATGGTAAAATAATAAAGCAATTTCAAGATACATCAGCTTTTTTAGTTTGGAAACAAACTCAATTGTTGCAAAATTACGATGGTAATGATCTTTTTGGAATAAACCACTCACTTGTGCAATCTAAAATCCAAGAATTACACAAAAAAATATTTTTTGAAACCTGCACTCTTGATGATTAGAATAATAAAGAAATCATGCAACGCATGTTCAAATTATATCTAAAAAAACATGTGCCTGAAAATGAAGAACTTTGGTATCGTGTTTTTAATCGTTGGTATAATCAAAAAAGTACAATTATTGAAATAAAAAGTTTTATTTATGAATTTTATAATGATAATTATGAAATAAGTACACGCGAACTTTACGCATGGAGGGCAATTTTTGGAGCAATTGAGTGTAAAAATATTACTCCATTTGAAGAAGAGATATCTAACGTAAATATTATTAAAAAATCAACTGTTTTTTTATTTATTCATTGTCTAATTATAAATATATTTTATAGATGGAATTTTGGAGCTGTGCTAAAGATTCTAGAAGTGATGAAGAAGCTATTTTCAATTTATATTCAAATGGATTGTTGAATATTTCATTAAATTCAACAATAAGAAATAAAGAGTTTGAAAATTATAAAAGCACCACCAATGTTTTTTGGTATTCATTTCGCGAAAGTTTTGATGCTAATCCTAATAGTTCAAATGGAAAAAGTCGAATTTTATTAATAATTGCAGAGAATTTTACTTATGAGGAATTAATGGAAAATCTACAGGTATGATAATATTCACATATATTGATAAATGATAAATATATAGTCTGATAAAATTTTACCTAGATTTCGCCAAAAACAATTTATGCCGCCTGTGAATATCAATGTAAAATAGTCCAGGATGCAAAGCAATTGATAAACCTATTATTGTTTATAAACAAATGGCTGAGATTAAAGAAAGAGAATTTGAATTATTTTTTGCCGATAAAGCAAATGTAAATATGAGTTCATATCATATTGACAAAAAAACACAATTACCTGTTCTTTATCTTAAAGATCAAAAAAGTGCATTATGGGAGAAATTTTCTGCTACATATCCTGATGGAATGAAGCGAACTTCCTTTATGACTCGTTTACAAAATGGGAGATTCAAATATCGTAATAACTTGAAAGGATTTTGCCCTATTTGTAATGATTACGCCTATCAATTATTTGAAGATTTGATTAAGTTAGTATTAAACAATAATATGGATAAGAAAATGAAGGTAAATAAAATAATATCAAATTATATATTTTATTTTGTAAAAATTCTAATCACAAATTATATTGCTGCTAGAATGAATTGATAACTCAGCTTGAAGTACTTCGTCGTTATCTAAAAAAGGATTATGAAAATAAATTATTAGTACATGAAAATGGCACAACAAATCATGTAGATTGTATTAACCACTGTTTGCTCTATGCATTTGGTGAATGTGAAGAACAACACTTTTCGCGTTGTAAAGCATGTGATCAATTCTTTGAGGTTTTTACAACTCTGTCTCACATATTAGACCACACTTACAATACATTACTTTCAGAATATCAAGAAAAACTTGCCTGTTATTTGGCCCACCAGACACGAAAAAGATACTTGAGTGTACAATTTAACACAGCATTAAATGAATTAAATGAGCATAGAGCTGTTATAGTAGTTGATTATAAAATGCGTATTCTTCCTGCAACAGCTTGAGAAACAAAAAGTGAATTCTTTAGAAAAAGAGGGTGGACCCTCCATACAACTCTTATCTTTCAAAAAAAAACAATGAAAAAATGGATGTTCAAGCATATGATCACTGGTCTTGTGATACAAAGCAGGACGCTTGGTTCACTGCGTCGTGCTTTGAAGCTGTATTTAATACTATAAATCCTTGTCCATGCTGAATAAAAATCATTTCTGATAATGGTGGTCATTACCATAATTCAGAGCTTATGACTATTATAAGCCATTAGCATGATTGATATGGAGTTGAAGTACGTGGATGGATATTCTTAGAACCTGGCGAAGCAAAAATAACCGTGGATTCCCATCATGCAACAGTATGTTAACTGCTATTTTTTAAAAAATTATATTTTTTGTTAATAATTTTTTGGTAAAAAAGATTGCCTATGCAATAAAATGATATGTTCGCATTGGTTGTAAACTTACATCAGGTAATGATATAGAAAAAGCAATAGAAGGGTTAAGTGAAACATCGGTTGCTCAAATTGAACCTAATCGGAATAAGGTAATAATGAAGTTAGAAATCACGATACAAATAACACCACTTCGGAAAAACCATGGTATGAAAGCATTACTTATTATTAACATTTGTTGTATTTGTTGATATCTCTCATTTTTTTTTCTATATTTCTTATTACTTTATATTTCTCAATTATAGTAATACTAATGATAAATAAATTAAAACCATACTCAACATTTTCAAATGGTTTGTGTGTGATTGGCCAGTAACTGGAGAAACTGCAGGATATATTAAAGCAAGATCTCTTCCAAATATTGGCAAATGGACTAAATTTTCTCCTGCTAGCATAAGTACATTTTGCGGTAAAATAAATCATCCCAATCCCGAATACACAACACCAACAGAACCAAAAACACCATGGTTAACATCATTATCAGTAAAGAAAGGTATGTGCAAAATCAATAAAATTTAAATAAATTCAGATAATTATTTATTTTATATAGTAGACTTAGTACATTATAACGAAACATAAAATTTATTACAAACTGAAATGAGTAAGTATAATACATAGATAATAGGTTTTGTAAACATTATAATAACATTAATAACATTATTCTATTATTACTAAAACAAATCTAACGTGAAAAGTCAAATAGGGTAAATTTTTTTTTTGATTTTTTTTTTATTTTATCAAAAAGATACTAATTAATTTGAATTGATAGGGTTGATTCAGTATTCCCACTAAAGTCTGGCTAGGCATTAAAGGAAATCAGAAAATGGGTAATAAAGGAGGAGGAAAATATATTAGTAAAAAAGTTATACAATATCTGCAAGCTTATTTTCACGCGAGTAATCTTAATCCAAAAGACCAGTATACCACTGAAAAAATGCATGAAAGTCTAAAGAAACTAGTAAAAGAAAAGGAACTTAGTATTGAGAAAATTCCAAAAGTAAAAACAATCAAGGGATGGATAGGAAGATATAGTGCTTCCTCTAAAAAAGAAATGTCCGAAAAAGCATTGGAGGAGAATGAAGAAAGTGCGTATCATGAAAATGTAAATACAAAAAATATTATTTACAATGAACTCAATAAAGCTAGAAAGCGGCAAAAAAGGAGCTAAATTTGTTGAGTTTGGATTTTTTTTAAAACTCATTGTAAATAAAAAGTATTATGAAATCTGTTATTTCCTTATCTAAAACTTTTCAAAATAAAATGAAAAAAAAACTTTTTATTGCTTAAGTGGCTTAGCGAACATGTGATATATGACATAATTTAATAATTATTTTTGGTAATGAATAATTAAAGTTTTTTATTTAACGTAAAATGATGGAATTAGCAGTGATCTACATGATTTTACTTCACGTTATACTATGCTAATTTCTACCTATTATATGCGGATCGGCAATTAAATATTAATTTTAGTAATATAATAATAATATGAAAAATATAGTTTAATATATATTTTATTAATTTTATTAAAA